TATATCTCTGAAAGATTAAATATAAATCATTTGAGTGTGTTGCTAATTATGATTGTATTGGTTTATATATGTGCAGGCTGCAGCCTCACCACGACCGTATGCATGCCAGGAATATTAGTCACTCCATAATGTACGGTGGTTTCCTTAATTTGCATGCATATATGAGTTATTTAGTTTTATTTTTCCTGGTTACCATCGCGCTAATAAATTACTCCACTTAGACCCTTTTATCTATAAAATAAATATTATGATGATGATTTGTGGAAATATGTGTTATATTAGAGAGAAATAAACATCTTAATTTGTTGGTTAATTATTGTATTTGACTGATCACTGATCTTGGATTGTATATTGTTGGTCCATAAGATGTGGAGCTGAAAGGCCAGGGATCAGCACAGGGAGAGGTGGACAAATTAATGGGACGAAGGGGTTGAGGGAGCAGAATGTTTCTGATCTCACCAGCTCAAAGACTGATCAGAAAGATGGCAAGAAAAGCAAAGAAGATGTCACTGCTACTCCAAAAAAGACTGGTTCTACCGATTGAAAACATATTATCGACAATTTCTGATAATCCGTCTTCTAATAAAGAACCGACGTGCTATGCAAAGAAGAACTGGGATATATATAACATTCTAAAATAGCTAGCTTTTTAATAAAGAGAGTAGCTTGTGAGTAAGATGCATAAGTCTTCCTTCGATCCGGTCTCAACGCGAAGCTCAAAGATGTCTGAGAAGGATATGGCAATGAATGGTAGAAAGCATATTGTATGCATAACTGTATGTTTAATGGTTGCTAGCTAGCGAGCTAGCTGCGACCATGATGAATCTATATAGTGTTCTATATATTCTTCTTTCTTACCTGTTCGTATAATTTGTTACTTGTAATTTGAGAGTTAAGTGTTTTAATTAGCTTTGCAAGCATGTCCTATAAATAATAATCATATGATTAGTGAAGTGTTTTAGCCGAGTACAATGAACTTCCTCTCTCTCAATGATATATAATTTTTCGATGGAGGAATTTTTGAAATAAATTTATTTGAAGAACACGTTGTAGGATTGATATAAAAAAGTTCGGAATTTTCATACTTACGAGGCCCTCACAGAATATAAAAACTTTTTGTACTTGACTGACTCGTCCATGCACAAAGATACGATCCAGATCTAATTATCTTTTAACAGTCAAGTCAATGTTATGGGGCTTTTGAAAAGCTTGGGAAAGACTAATCAAAACAAACCACACAAAACTCACACACATTGGTGATCATGAATTCACACATATACAACGATAATATGCAACCTTGGAATGCAAGTATGTCATAATCATAAATAAAAATAAATAGGATTACCACTGAATTTCTGTTAATCATTTCCCCAGTCCATGCATGGTTTAAAAAACTTTGGTCTTCAATGGGAAAACAACGAGGACCGTAGGATATGCCGACTTAATTATGTTGACTTGGATCGGTCTGTATTATAGTAGTTTACATTGAATATGAAAGTTCTGAAAAGTTTTCCACTAATCCGGACAAAAAACCAAAAAGCAAAAATTATTGGATTAAAGAGGGTCATCCACACGTTGACTTGGTCTTAATATTATTAGTCTTACTATCAATTATGAAAAGTTACATGCCAATTTCTACATATTTAACTTTAAAGAATGAAAATGAAAAATTAGTAGTTTAATGAGTAAATAACGGAACGGAAAAGGTACGAATAAAATAGTATGTGTTTCGTGTTTTATTCGGCAAAATTTTGAAGAGATACAACTACAAAGTTCGGCCACTATATAATATTTTATTTAATAATATGTGAAAAATATGTGTATAATTGTGACTTTTGTCTGTATTAATCAAAATTTTATAATAAAAAATACATGTATTAAATGTGAAAAATACATACATACGTGTATTGTATGTTTAATTTTTTTTAAATGTGTATTTTACCAAGTCTTTAAAACGTGTACCAAAAATAAAAGTATTATTGAAAAATACGTATATATATACAGTTATTCTCTTATCCGGATGTCCGCATGTTATTATCGTGCGGATTCTATTGTAAATAGATAGGAAAGCAGAGAGGGGTAGTACAAAATACATGGCGTCCGCACAATAATAATATCCGGATGTCCGCATAAGAAAATTTCTATATATATATAATATGAATATTAAACGGAAAAATGCTAAAACAATCTTTTACATATATGTAATTTACTTTGTTGCTGTTGACTTCTCCAAAGGATTGGAAACCAAATTTGAGAAGTCTGACCTACTCCTCAAGTGACTTTTTCCTGTTGACATATATATATAATAATAATAATAATAACAATAATAATAATATATAAACGGAAAGTCTCGTGTAATATGGTAAAGGCTGGAACCAAACCGATAGCCCACTTTTATAACCTCATTAACCAATGTATCCATTACCAAACAAATCAATTTCCACAAAGTACTATATTCCACAATTAAAATAATAGACTTTCATAAACAACCCACTGTCACTCAATCCACGTACTTTAATGATAAATAATAACCCTTAGAGATCCCATATCTGAATCGTACGTCCATACAAGAGAGAGACGGTCTAACGATCAGATCAAATATAATTAATCTCCTTAACAATCAAGTCACTATTTGTGGGATTCAAAAAGCTTGGGAAAGACTAATCAAAGTCGCACGCACATGTCATGGACCAGGAATTCACATTTGAATTTATAAACCAAGTCATGATGAGACTCGAAGATTATTGTAATTGTAATTGACAAGACAACAAATAAAAGAGGCTGATAATAAGCAGATTGGTTGTGATACTTATATTAATTTCGAGCAGCGTGGACTTGTGACTTGACTAACTAAGTCACTATTCCTGGTCCTGGGAATTTATTACGTGTTGTCTTATTAGTGGCCTTGGCTAGTTGCCACCCAAAGATCTGCTACAAATCATTCCAAGTAGCAGCCTATAAATCACCCCCTCGGGCTCAACTGAAGATATAGCAAACTTTGTATATCTCTAATTACTTGCTAAGATGGCTGTTGTTAGAGGCTTCATGTCAAAGGCCATGCTCCAAATGCCCATTTTGAAGACCATACAATGGAAATTTACGACTGTGTAAGTTGATTGGTCTTCCTATACATAGTCATTTTTCCCACATATTTTCTTTTATCTTTTGGTGGTGAATTTCCCCCTCTTATTTAGAGTTTGGAAAACCATAATTTTTTTACACAGTTATTTATAATTAAAGGTCATCTGAGTAAGGAGGTTGGCATTTCTTACCCCGTTTGGACTGGATTGGAGTTGAGTCCAAACCAGTCCTTATGAGTCTCAATATTTATAAGTTCACTAAACAGTGACCATTACACACTAATCCAGTCCAATTCGAACCACAAAATATGTAATTCTCATTTCTTTAAGTTCCATTTTACATATAATTACTTACACTAATATTCCCTTTCATTTCTTTTTCTTTTGTTTAGAAGATGTGCATCTGGACCTAAAAGGGAAGATCTTACTCCAGGCCCCGGTCCACAAACCAATGAAACACCTAAAACGAACGCTGTGACGGATGAGGACAGGCCAGGTATTACCACAGGCCCCCCTCCACAAACCAATCAAGTACCTCAAAGAAGATCGGAAACCAATTCCAGCATAAGTTCTGAGGAACCTCGATATGATTAAGGGTATAGTTCTCTTGCTTGTTGGTTGACTTTTAATCTAAGTCTTGTGTTACAAATTCAATGGTAATCTTATATATCTTTGAGTTTTTAGACTCTCAACCGTATAAGAGAACATTTGGATATGTAATATGCTGACTCAAATTGAAAATCAAGTCCTGCAAGACAAGCAGAAATCTCAGAGTAACGGAATCTTCTTTTAATAGCTGTGACTAGCTAAGAATAATAGTCTTTCTTTCTTGTTTTATTTTCTTTTTTGCATCCTTTTGTAATTCCCCAGTTTGTTTTTTAATGTTTTTTTTTTCATTTTGTTTGCCAATAAACTTTGTATTTCTTGATTCCGTCAATTTATGATGATTTGAAATAAAGATTGTGTATGTGATTGATTGGATGATTGGAGCAAAAACTTTCTTAAAATTTATTTTACATTTGCTAAGTCTTCCTAAAATTTTACTCTAAAAGGGAGAGAGGAGACAAACCAACCCAGATTCTGCAAAAATAAAAATGAAAACCCAAATACGAAATAAGGGATTGAATTCTTGAAAAGGATACTTACAAAGCAATCATGCTTCTTCTTGGAGACCATGTAGCCATAGCTAGAGAGAGAGAGAGAGAGAGAGAGAGAGAGAGAGAGAGTGATAGATGAGGAGGGAGAGGTAGAGCAGAAAGTGGGTGTGGGAATTTTAGTGTTTGGGTTTGGAAAAAAGATAAAGGAGAGAGGAGGAGGAAAGTAGTTTCGATTACCGTAAACTTTAATCATGAATATGGGACATTCTTAACATAGTTTTTAAAAAATAACATAATTTTTAACAATTAAGATACTGACATATGTAAGGACGAGGAATGTCAATTGATAAACCAAGTCATGAGACTCCAAGATTATTGTAGTTGTAATTGGCAAGACAATATATAAAAGAGGCTCAGCATATTAGTTGTGATACGTATAGCAGTGTGGACTTGTGGCTTAATTGAATCTTACGTCCATGCAAGATAGAGACGGTCTAACGATTAGATCAAATAATTAGGGCCCGTCTGGTAACGTTTTCTGAGAATATTTTCTAAGATTGAAAACAAGAAAAAAAATTTGAATTTTCAGGAATTGAAAATGCATCTAGTAGATTAATTAGAAAAAATCTTCAGAAGACAAAAACAATGAAAACGTGTCTGGTAGTACAATTTGAAATAATAATATGTGAGTTATTTTTATGAAAACGTTTTCCACGAGGAAAACAAGAAAACAAATTTGATTTTTCAGGAATTGAAAATGCATCTAGTAGATTAATTAGAAAACATCTTCAGAAAACAAAAACAATGAAAACGTGTCTGGTAGTACAATTTGAAATAATAATATGTGAGTTATTTTTATGAAAACGTTTTCCACGAGAATGAAAACAACTTTTTTATGTTTTCTACAAGTACACATGAACTTATTTTCATTTTATGAAAACATTCTCAGTGTTTTTTGTTTTTGGGCCACCGAACGTGTTTTTGTCTCATTTTGTTCTCTGAAAATGAAAACAACCTCTTAAAACGTTACCGAACGGGCCTTAACAATCAAGTCACTATTTGTGAGATTTAAAAAGCTTGGGAAAGACTAATCAAAGTCACAAACACATGCCATCGACCAGGAACAGGAATTCACATTCGTTTCACCATTTGAATTTAAATTAATCAGTTCCCAACTCCACGGTTTAGAACCTCTCAGAGGTCAATGGGAAATCGATTTAAATCGATTTATATTCATGTACTCTTGTCAGATTATGAAAATACTGAAAATGCGTATTTGAGGTGGTATTCTAATTACTGATGGGTTGGTTTTTGTATTTGGGATAGCAATGTTTTTACCACAAGATCTTTGATGCCTATAAATCATCCCTTGGGCTCAACTAATAGATGCCACAAAAAGATATAGCAAACTTTGTGTTATTCAGAAAACTTGGTGCTACAAATCATTCTAAGTATATCTCTAATTAGTTGCTAATATGGCTTCTGGATCCAGAAGGCCAGGTATTACTACAGGTCGTCCTCCACAAATCAATAAAACCCCTCAAACAAATG